TGATGATGACGATGACCAAGATATTAGAGAGAGCAGTGATGTTGATCCACAGCCGCCTGCTAAACGGCAACTGGCCAAATCATTAATTTAATTTATTTAATTTTTTTACTTAATACTTTTCATAACTAACATTTCAAAATTATATTTTTTTCCATATTTTTATAATTTCTTTTTCAATGTTTCTTCAAAACCAACACTGAAAAAATTGGTACATAAGAAATGAGAAGTAAATTAATATTAGCTGGAAAACGCAAGTTTTGTATTATGATTGTTTTCTTTTCAAATGAAATTTATTGAAGAAACTGGGAAGCATATTATAGATCAAACAGAAAGCAAAAAAGACTTAGTTTTGTGGAAAATATGTTCAAAAAGCATGAAAAAAAAATCCAACATTTTGCTTCATAAGCACTACAAAAATTTTCTAAATAAATTTTTTTAAAAATTTTAATTGTTCCACAGGTCTCTAGCAATAATTTGGCTTTAACAGATTGAAAAAATATCAATTAGTCGACGGGTTATAGCCAAAAAGCCATATAAACAATATGCTGAAAATCGGCATTTGACTGCAAAGTTCGAAGGTCGATTACAAAAAAAATTCGAACTAACATAAACAAACGCCGCGATACGGGTCTTCTAATTTAGCCTCTATTTTCACCCCTCACTCTCAGAATCGACCTAACTTTTGCTAAAATGAATTTGTTCCACAGTTTAATAGGTTGTAAAATATGTTTCATACCGGGGTAAGGTTTCCTCAAGTGGGCACCGAATTTACCAACATTAATATTTTTCAATGACATTCAGGCAGCGCCGAGTTTTGTAGTCGAAAATTTTCGCAGTGTTTCGGAAGTTTTTATTTTTCTTTGAAAGTAAGTGTCCGAATCAAAAAATCTTTTTGGATGCAGATTTAAGAAACATTAAACTATACAGTGAAATTATTTGCGTTTTAAAATTATTATTTTTTTTTGCTTTTCAATATTTTTTTTATGAAAAATTGAACTTTTAAGCAATTTCTTTCATAGATAAATGCATACATAGAAATGTTTGTTACATAAGTTGTTGTTAAAAATTTTCGCCCACGAGGCGCAGAAATTGCTTAAAAGTTAAATTTTCCATAAAAAAAAAGATTGAAAAGCAAAAAAAAAAATTTTGTAACGCAAATAATTTCATTGTATAGTTTAATGCTTCTTAAATCTGCACCCAAAAAAAATTTCAATTCGGACACTTACTTTCAAAGAAAAATAAATATTTCCAAAACACTGCAACAATTTTTAATTGTTGATTAAAAAAAAGTATTTGGAAGTTTGAAAAAAAAAAATATACACAGTGTACTGTTCGACTACAAAACTCGGCGCTGCCTGAATATCATTGGAAAATATTAATGTTGGTAAATTCGGTGCCCACTTGAGGAAGCCTTACCCACCGCTAAGTGAAGGGGCCGTCGCACCTCCCATACAAACCAAATTTTTCACACCTTATATCTCTGCAAGTGTTTATGGTAGAGTACTCGATCATGGTATGGAGATATATAAAATTAATAAAAAATTTTGGCTGTTGGAAAAAGGGTCGTGGCACCTCTCATACAAACCAAATTTTTCACTCTGCATATCTCTGGAAGTGTTCATGGTAGGGTACTTGAATTTGGTATGGAGATGTATGAAATTAATCCCATACTCTTAGAGAAAATTGCGGCTATTTTATAAGGGGGCGTGGCGCCTTTCAAACGCACTGAAGCTATTACGTATCTTTGTATGCATATACACTTTTGCTAAGTTATTTAAGAAGGCAATGGAAATATGCCTTCTGACATCCACCAAACCGTAACACTAGAAGATAAAAGCGTTACTGAAAATCATGAACGTGAACTGTTGGTGAAAATGTTGGACCAAAATGTTTCAATACAAAAAATTTATTTTGGGCGGTACGAAGTTCGCCGGGTCTGCTAGTTTTTTTTATAAAAATATGGTTCATGCAAATACCATATAAATCACATTTTCAAACTTTATACAGAATTTTATAAAAATTCCACAAATTTTTTCCTAAATTTATAATTTTTTTTGGTAAGCAGCTAACAGGCTTATAAAATTCTAGTAAAATAAGTGCAAGTCGTGAGCAGCTAAAAAATCGGATAGATTTTTTATTTTTTTATAAACATAAATCAGACTTTCAAACTTTATACAGAATTTTATAAAAATTCCAAAAATTTTTCCCTAAATTTAGAATTTTTATACATTTTTTGGGTATGCAGTTAACAGACTTATAAAATTGTAGTAAAATAAGTGCAAGTCATGAGCGGCTAAAAAATCGGATAGATTTTTAATATTTTTTTTGTTGACGGCGTTTTGCACTATTTTCCGTAGAAACATGTATTTCTTGTGGAAGCACATACCCAAGACCGTGTGCGAAAAAAATAAAAAAGTCAACGTCAGTTTGTCGCGTACTGGCCGCAACAAAGTTTTCTTTTGCGTATTCCTCCGTTTTACCCTTATTTCCTTTCACTCCAACCGATAGGAGCGAACTCTACCGGCAACTAGTTGTGTAAATTAAAGCTTAGGTTGAAGAGCAAAACAGCTGATTGTCGGTGGTGTGCTAACACATTGGGGAAATGTCTCCATTAGGGGTGTTCTCGCCAAAACGATACCGACCAATGGGTAGAAAAAAGAGATGACGCGAAAAACCACAATAGGGGCGTCGCCTTTTTCTCTTATCGCGGCACTTTTGTTGTCCGCCGAATGATGGTGATGGCAAAGTCCATGGTGGTTGTTTTTGTGCGCCGTGGTGGCGACCGCCAAAGCGCCCAATTCGTTTAAGAATTAACGGGCCGGCGCCAAGTGATCGGGCACCAACAACACCAGCACTGAGGCCCGATGGTTTTGCGGACCGGCGCGTAGGTTACGGCCCAACTTGTAGCTGTGCGCCGGGGCAGAACCTAGTGATCATTGCGAAGGGAAAAATCCCTATTGTGAGCGAATTAGTGCTAGTGTGATTTTAAAAGATAATTGAAAAGTGTTTTGGTACCAGACGCAGTACAGGGGTTTGATGGGAATTAGCCTTGTGAAGTGCCAGGAGAGGCACTTAGCCTGTAGTAGGACAGGCAAATCTAGAAGTGGCCCCAGTCGAGGTGGCAAAGCGCGGTGTCGGTAGCGAATTTGGGCGGCGTAGCATCGCAGAAGCACCCAGTGGTCGACGCACAACCCGACCGCAGCATAAGTATCATTTGTGTTGTTGCCTGTATTTGGCTAGTAGAGTTGTCGGTAGTTTTTCCCAATCGTGGTTCCTATCCCTTTCTTTTAGCATCCCGCACCCAGAGCCCAGTCACTCGGCGGGTTAAAGTTACCCCCGGCAGCTTGGGTGGTATTGCGAGTGGGTTCGTAACCTTTTGGTTGGACCTCACATCGGGTGCACCAACAAACAAGGTTTTGTTTTTTCATTTTTGTTGCGTAGAATCTTTTGTTTTGTCGTTTAATACTTTTGGCCGCATTTAAATACTCAGTGACTTGTCTCGTAATTTTAGGCTCACCCTAGTAGTGATATTTGTACGTTAGTTCGCTACATACATATTAATAGTTGATGCCGTTCCCTCATACAATTATTGTTGTCCAACTTTAAATTCCATTTGCCCTAAGTATTTTGTATATTGCCCTGTTGTTCCCCCTCAAGCAACCCCGCCGTCTCCACTGAGTCAGCTGGTTGCAATTTTTTTTGTCACTTTCTGTTTGTGCGTCTATTTGTTTATTTGGTTGGCCCTTGTGTATTGTTGTTGTTGGGCTCTGGTAAGTGCACTTGCTTTGGTACATTAGGTAGTTCGAATTTTGGTAGCAAAAAGTAAGGTGACAAGTTTTCCTGAAAAATGACTAAAAATCAATGCGATTTTTAGCCGCTAAAAACTTGCACTTATTTCAATAAAATTTTATAAGCCTGTTAAAAATTTATGATAATTCTGGTTAAAAACTATAAATTAAGATAAACATTTGTGGAATTTTTCTAAATTCGGTATAAAGTTTGAAAGTGTGATTTACATATGAGCCATTCGTTTTTAAGTCGGACGGATTTCGTAAAAACAATTATTTCATGTCTCCGATTCGCTTCAAATCTTTTTTGGGGCTCTGAAATAAGCTAACAAGTGTTCGAGGAATTTTTTCTCCGGAGATATGATCTGTCAAAGTTTGCATTTTTCGTGATTCTGACTAATCATGTACTTCTTCAAATCGTTATATCTCGGGTTCTGCTCATCGTAGAGACTTCATCTTAACGTTATTCTAAAGCTAGGAAACGGGCCTAAAATTTCTATATATAAGGTGGTCAGGGTTGTCCTAAAGCTAACTTTACTATTAACAGTTGATTTTTTTGAAGTTGATTTGCATACAGAACACCAGTAAATTAGGGATTTTAAATTATACCATCGTAATCCTTGTTTAATTCTCTACAAAAAACGTGGTTAAAAAATGAGGGTTTTCAAGAACTATTTTTAAAATATTTTTCTTTATGACGAGATGGTTTATTTTGTGAGAATTGTATTTTTTTTCGAAAACTTATGTTAAGATATATTTGGTAAGGTGTTAAACATCGGTTTTTTGCAGGGACTTTCTGTTCCCTGTTTCGGTTTTGTTAGGGAGCTTTCACCCCTAGGAGTTTTCTAAATAGAAAAAGGAATACCCACATTTTTTTGTTTATATAAATTTTCGAGAATTTCAAAAAGTGTTTTTTCGCCATATAAAATATATGGAAAACTTCGTGGGCTTTGAGGCAGTTCTAAATATCATGTTTTTTTTTTAAACAAAAAAAGGGATATTCTTTTTTTCCATTTATAAAATCCTAGGGGGTGCGAGCGAAACATTTTAAACTTTTTGCCCCGCATGTTTTTTGGTGCCACCCTAATGTACATACTATAAATATGTATGTGTATACGTTTTGAAATATGTATCCGTAGCTTCCAGTCGTTGAATAACATACCTCGTATTTTTTCCTTCCACAATTAATAAGATATATTGTCTAATTACAGAGAGCTTGGTCCAGATCTCGAACATTATCCATTAGTTACGTCGGGGATACAAATGTATCAAATGAGCACCGAGGTTCAACTACACAGGTATTTATTCATTTAAACAATATTGAATATAATGTATTATTCTTATATAGAATATTGTATAATTGCTGCAGGAAACGAATCTAACTTAAAAGCAGCTTAAATTGCTTTCAAAACAATGGGTATTGACGATTTACAGCCTTATTCTGTATCACGAACGATATGCAGCACGAACGTTTCGTCTGCAGAGGAATGCTTAAAAAATTAGTCCGGCGGCATCATTTTAGCCGGTTTAAACGCACCCGAGACCATTGCAACGTAATATATGAAAAGCAAGACGAAGACGACCGATAGAGTCATAAAATCGCAATCAGAGATGTTGTCGTCTGCAGACGAATCGTTCGTGTTACTTATCGTTCGTGATACAGAATAAGGCTGTTAGACTATGCTCATACAGGCACCTAATTGGCAATTAAGAACCTTTTCACCAATTTAAGCCTTAATTGTTACCCAATTTATCATACAAAAATTCAAATTGTTAATTGCCTATTGTGTCAGATTCTCTATGAAACCCTGCTAGGTATGTTTAATTTTGATTTGGAGGTATGTTTATTGAACAAAGGGCAATCCGCTGTTTGTTTCTGGTCCTCTTTTACAGCTGATATTACATCAGGGATGGAAAATTTAATTATAAAATAGGGATGTAAAAAAACATCGATGTATCGAGCAGCATCGATGGTCGTGACTTCAAACATCGATGTTTGTCGATGTTTATAATCCGATGTAAAGAGACAGGTTAATTACATACGTAGTACGTGTTGCATTAGCTCGGTCAAGTTAGACATTCACGGTTGCAACAATTCGCTTAAAGCTGAAAATTGGTAGGAATGTTGCGAACACCATTATAATTGAGATGTCAAAAGCCTGCAAAAAATTTATTCAAAGTCAAAAGTCACATAAATTTCCTTTTTATATTTTTCAACCAAACGATAAGATTTATCAAAAAAAAGGTGAGACGAAAGTGTAAAAGTGAAATACAATACATGAAATGGATGGTCCATTGCGTCACTGTCATCGCCACCGTCATCACAGGCAACGATGCTTATGCGTCAAGTTACAAACTAAGTATCCGTTTGACATTAGGTCCGTTCCTAAACTCTCTGCTACTCTTTCCAAAATTTTCGTTTTACTTTTGCTTTTCTTCTATTAGGTTTTCCCCCATAATTCTTTACATTTCGTTTTTCCATAAATCTACAAATGTTCACAAACTGGAAAAATTTGCGTTCAAACATGTAAACAAAACACTGAATAGTTGTCACTTGACACAAACACATAAGCAAAGTTGAGAGTTGAGCTAATTTTTGCGGCACCGTCACCGTCAGCTTTGTTCATGGAACTTACTTCATACAAATACATCGATTCAACTTTTTTGACAACTGCCGGTGACGGTGACGGGACGCAATGGACGTTATGTACTTTCACTTTAAGTGTTTAACACAGTGATGGGCACACTAACACTATCACATTTTGAGCATATCTTAGTGTCTTTTGCCGAGACCGGACGACTCGGCCATTCAGTCCAGTGTTGCCACTAACTGGGTTCATAAAATCCCGCCTAAATACAACCTAAATCCCGTTTTTTACTAAAGTTATAACAGAAATCCTGCGCTGTATGTATCTATTATACATAAAATGCCTTCGGATGAAAAACACAAGTATGCACATAGATATGTGTTTCGATTAGCTTCACCGCTGAATAATAAAACACGCACCTTTTTTTGTTTGGAATAATTAAAGTTCACTTTTATTCTTTTAATTTTATTCTTTTAACTATAAAAAGGCACAACAACAGGCGAATGAGCACGGATCCAAAAACACCAAAACCCACGTACGCGGCGGCGGTTCGTCTACGACTATGTTGATGCTGCTGTGCTTTCGACCAGGCAGCCGTGGTCCTTTTGCCACACTGACACGGCGTTGCCAGATCGCCACGTTGACGGAGGTGGAGACTTACTCCGAGAATTCGATCATGTTCTCAACATGCTCCCTCCCCCGCCTGATGCGTTGTCGATTTTAGGGTGGCATCTAATTTGTCCAGGGCCGCCTTTGCCTCAGCTACCAGTCGCCGTAGTTTTTGTTGGCGTTGTTGAGCTGATCGGCTCTGCAGTGCCCGCGTGCGGCTTTGAGTTCGCCGCGCATCTGAGTGCCGAGCCCGGTGGTGACCCAGCGAGCATCGACGGCAGCTGGACGCGGAGTCACACGCCCCGGCGGTGTGAGAAACGGCGAGACAGTTGACGCAGTACCAATGGGTCCGTACGCACTCGTACCTCTCCTCCGGCTTCATCGCTAAGAACGCACGGCAATGCCTCAGCATATGACGCTGACCACACAGACGGCACTTCTGTGGCTCTGGTTTTTTGCGGGTTCTGTAAGGACAGGAATAGATAGAAAGGACGATTGGATCAAGCATTTACTAAAATGGGTTAGGTGAAAATACGTTGATAAAGGGTAGCTGCTATGTATTTATACATACGGCTAAAGGGTAAATAATAATGGGATACAAAATGTAGAGTATGACGGGTAAGCACGCCAAAAACGCCACTCATTGGGGGGTAATAAATCGTCTTTTATTACCACTAGATCACCTTCTTCGATATTCTGCTGTGGGCGCTTCCATTTGTAGCGTTTATGCAGCTCCTTGATGTTCAACGTTTTGTTCGGGTAGTGATAGGAGTGCTGCTCCGCGTAAGAAATGTCCTGGGGTTAGCACAAGGGGATCCTGCGGATCTTCTGACATAGGGGAGAGCGGTCTGGAATTGAGGACCGCCTCTATCCGAACCAGAAGAGTAGCGAGTTCCTCAAACGAGAATTTTTGACCCTCCGCTGCTTTTGTAAAATGTATTTTAAAACTCTTCACGGCGGCTTCCCATAGACCTCCATGAAGGGCATATCTTTCTGCGACGTCTGTAGCTGCTGCATTGAGGAACATGGCGAAATCTCGTTGTAGTGCTCGTTGGGCGCCAACGAAGGTTTTCCCATTATCGGAGAGGATCTGGTGAGGTATGCCACGAGGTCTACTGAGGTCGGAACACAGTTCTAAATGAACGGCCTTTGTCGAGAAACACACAAACACACAGACATACGCCTTCACATATGAAGCTCGTCGAAGTGGGGACGATTTTACTAAGAACGGGCCAGCGAAATCGACTCCTGTTGTGTGGAAGGGCAAGGAGTATGTTGATCTCTCGGGTGGAAAGGCTGCCATTACCTGCGACCTCATCTGCTGTTTATAGATGGTGCAAGTTTTGCAATGAAATATACACT